AAACCAGGGAACAAACTTGAGTTTGGACTCTGGACTACCTTCCTTGTTTTCCCAATTGGTGAGTGAGGTGAGCAGGCAGGCCACAGCACTATTCATTGCAAGAATAACAGCAACTTACACTTATGCAGAGCCTTTCATCTAGGAGGACTTTTCAAGGGAATAAAGATAATTCTCAATAACTCCATCTCATTGACAGCCACTGCATTCACCCATTTCTCTCACGCATCATACTGCTGGAGGTTTGTTGCTGACTACGTTTAATGTCTGAATTATTATCTGAGCTGCGTTTGGGTGGGGTCCCTAGACATGGGCCCCTACACCTGTGCGTTAATCTACCCCCTGCCAAACAACAACAGCATTTACACAGCACCTTTCACATCGGGAGGACGTTCCAAGGTGCTGGACAGTCAGGGATTTGAACCTGAGCTGGGGCTTGGGATCGGGGAGGGGGTGGAGGGCAGTGAGGGTATGGCTTGCGACGTGCCATGAAGGAGGCAAGGGAGTGAGCGAGGCGAAGGGACTGCGGGATGAAGTTGACCGCCATGTCTACAGACGATGGCACCAAGAGGGAGCATGTAGACGTTGAAGAGGAGAGGATCAAGGACAGAGCCTTGAGGAAGGTCATCAGGGCAGAAGCAACTTTAAACCATTTAAACCAAATGGTGGGGGGGGGGGGGGGGTGGGGGGAATACCCACTTTAACAGCATGTTTGAAAAATAAAGGCTGACTCACATTAAATTACATTCTGGGTCTGTGGGAGAGGGGCTGGCTGGGTGGATGAGTCATTATTGGAAAACAAAACACTCCAGGCTGGAGCTGCTATTAGTTTATTTTAAGCTGGGTACATACAGCTCGATCATTGCCACAGCTTGGTTGAAGCAAACTGTGCTCAACGCAACACCACAGCTATATCTTCTGCAGTTATTATAATCCAGGCACTTGAGGAAATCCACACCTTTGATGCAACAATTCACACTGTGAAGCTGTCAGGATTTTATGCACAAACATATTCCAAGTTGATTGAGCACAGAGAGATTGGTCATACTCAAGCCATTTGAGGGGGGGGAAAGAAAAGGCTCGCTTTTTAAAGGAGGCAAAGTCTGAACGTTTACGTGGATTTGCTGGATCCTGTAATTATAGCCTTGTTTGCACATTTCAGCATCATGGTTATTTATTAACGTGGGATTGGGCAGAAAGGCACGTTCCAGGAATTATAGTCATCGGCACTTTTAGCCCATTGTTTTGCAATGAATTTACCAGCATCGAAAGATCTGCTAAAGGTAATTGAATTTTAGCTCCAGAACAACACCACCACCACCACCAGCACATTGCATTGATACAGCACCTTCATGTCGGGAGGACGTCTTAACGTAAAGGATTTGCACCCAAGGCGGAGGGGACTCCAGGATGGAGTTCCAGAGGGTGGGGGCAAAAAGATTGAAGGCCCGACTGCCAATGGTGGAGCGAGCAGGGTGGGGGACACGGAACAAGCCAGTGTCCGCCGAGCAGAAAGAGAGGACAGGCTAGCAATGTTTTAGTAGGTTGCGGAGGTAGGGAGGAAAAAGGACCGTGGCAGTTTTTAAAGGTGAGTACAAGGATCTTGAACTCAATCCTCTGGGGGATGGTGAGCCTGTGAAGCCGGGCGATGATGGGGGTGATCGGCTCACGGATCTTGGAGCAGCAGAGGACAGGAACTGCAGAGTTCTGAATAATCTGCAGGTTGCAAAGAGAAGAGATGGGAAGACCAGTGAGCAGGGAGGTGGCACAGTCAAGCCTGGATATTACGAAAGCATAGATTATGGTCTTGGCAACCTTAGGGGAGAGGTCGTGATGAAGGTGCATACACAGAATATGCTAAGTTGATGCTCCCTGACACTTGAATCTGCAAGATAATTCTCTTGTATCAGAAGATTGCAGGCAGTCAGGAAAGAGATGTAAATTGGGAGAAATAATCTGGAATGTAGCTCTGGAACTTCAATGTCCCCAGGTCAATAAAGTTTAGGATCATTGAAAGGCTTGTAACGTTTTACCAGTGACAGTTAAGGACACCAACGGCGCTGTGCTTGCCTGAGGAGCGTCAGCACCGCATAAATGATCCAACAACCCAATACAATCAGCCGAAGAGAAAGCTTGAAAAATGTTCTAACATTTGACCACTAACTGGTACAGTACACGCTGGGACTCTCACCAAATCTGGATGAACTTGAATTACATTTTGCAAAGGACTTTTCATTCATCGAGTGGCACGTGGAACAGACACTCGTGTAAGACCTTCACCTTCACAGGCATTGCTGCGAAAACTCAAAGGGTTTCTTCACAGTCATGTTTCACAAAACCATCACTTTGGGAGGTGGTCATTGCAGTAGTTGCAGTAGTGCATCTGCTCCTGTGGGGGACGCTGAGGAACCATTTGGATATCACCGTCTCGGTCGCACCACCAGTGCGGTACTGCAGCCCTGATGGAAACAAGCCCTGGAAGAAATTGGAAGCTAACGTGGAAGTTCGCACAATAGCTTTTTTTTGTGTGGCTTTGTTCCCTCTGTTCCCCGTACTGTTGACTGTTGTGCCACAGGGCGTTCAGTATCCACGAGACACGGCATCTGCTTAACGTCTCATCCGCCTGTTCAGGTGGACATTGAAGATCGCATGGCACTATTTGAAAAGTGAAACGAGTTTCCCCTGGTGTGTCCTGGCCAACAATTCCCCCCATCCCCCCAAATAAAATTTGTCACTCCTCACTGCATTGCTGTTTGTGGGACATTGCTTTGCGCAAACCGGCTGCGGCTTTTCGCCCGCAAAATACAGTCAACCCACTTTACACTTTACATCTTGTGAAGCGCTTTGAGACGTCTCGAAGACGTGATGAGGCGCCATAGCAAATGCAAGGAGGATTGTTATTATTAATCTCATTGCTGTATCGGAAACTGAGCTTAGGTCTTTAGCTCAGGTTTTGCTGTTTGGCTTGAACCCACAACCTTCTGATGCTGAGGTGATTCATGAGCCAGACTGACACTGCTAAGGTCAAGTGAGGACAGAAACAGCCTGAATGATGAGGGCTTCCACACAGACACCGATACCCTCTGGCGTTCACTATTTTGGGCCACATGATGTCTGGAGCATCAGAGGCTGTCGGTTCAGTGCAACTGGCAACGCAACTGATGAACTGAGGACGGGGGGGGGGGAAGCACTTAAAAATGTGGTAAAATCTGCAGAACGAAGGAGTCTAAGAGTAATAATAATAATCCTGGCATTTGATACAGTGCCTTATCACATCTTCGAGACGTCTCAAAGCGCTTCACAGGATATACCATAAAGTCAATTGACTGTATATTTTGTGGGCAAAACACAGTAGCCAATTGCATACAGCAGTGCCCCACAAACAGTCATGGATTGAGTGATAAAAATGTTTTTTTATGGGATTATTACCCCGGAAAAATAAATTATGAGACATTGATGAAGACTGAAGCACGCATATAAATTTACAACAACAGCCGTTGTTGTTATTGCATATAAATTTGCAGTCAGAACCTCAAAAGTAAAATAAAGTTTTATGGCACTCAAGAGAAAAATATTGTTTCCAGGAACCATCTTTACTTCCCTCACACCCTTGAGATGTCGTGCGCAGTGACTCTTTGAGGCAGTATTTCTTTTTCGCTTTCGAGATTTGTCCTCCGAATTTCTATGCATTATTCATTTCTAATCAAGATATATTCTGAAACATCTTCATGTTGCAGGCATCATTTTTTAAGGCTTTCCTCCTACCCACAAGTCTACAATTCATGGCCGCGCGCGCGTGTGTGTGTGTGTGTGTGTGTGCAAGGAAGCTTATTAAAGGAATAAATCATCATGCCTGGGAACACTGCTGTGTTTTTTAAACCTAGTTGGGGCCCAATTTGGAGCAGATATTAATCAAAAAGAGTTTTTTTAAAAAAAAAAGTTACGTTTGGAATAAATGTAGCACCGTCTTTCGTGTTCGTCCGGGAAATAAAATGATGTCCTGACAATGAGCTTTTTTTTTTGTCAGCCAGTTACGTCTGACACATGAGGAAATCTATCGCTGGGCTTAAGAGACGCGCACTCTCTCCCCAGAGGGACGCCCACTGTTTACCCAATTCCGCAGAGTATTAGGCACAGACAGGTTGGCGAGAGAGCCAAGGCTCGGCGTAATATGGGCAGAGGCCGTGGAACAGAACACAGAACAGCCGACAGGATTGTGCGCTTACACTGCCTGTCGTGAAGGATATTAATTGACACACTTCACAGAGACATTGTGGTGGGAGTATAATAATAATCATAATTTGTGTTTGATACAGGGCCTCACCACGTCATCTCAAAGTGCTTCACGGACTCAGAAATCGCACGGACTTAAAAGATTTTGACTCCCACCCCCCACCCCCCATCTCCTCAATTCAGTCCTGAATATTTTTAAGCCAGAATTTCGCAATTCTTAAAAAAAAAACCTTCAGAGTTATATTTTGAGATTTGCAGAGTCATCACGATCTTACGGTTAAGACCATGGAGATTTTCAAGTCTCGTCCGAGCGCCACTGGCCAGCCTTACTAATTAAGCTAAACAATTTTATAATAATACTCATCCTTGAATTTGATCCATTACATTAGAGCGCATTAGAATACACGGCACAGAAACAGGCCATTCGGCCCAACTGGTCTGCGGCGGTGCTTATGCTCCACATGAGCCTTCTCCTGCCCTTCCTCAACTAAGGCCTTCAAGCACAACCTTCTATTCCTGTCTCCCTGACGTAACTATCGAGCTTCCCCTTAAATACATCTGTGCTATTTGCCGCAACAACAAATTGTGGGGCCTTGTTCCACATTCCCGCTACTCACTGTGTGAAGTCATTTCTTCGAATTTGATCTATTTGTGACTATTTTGCAGTGACGGCCCCCGGTTTCGGTGCCGCGCCTTATCACGTTGTTGCGACATCTCCAAGCGCTTCGGAGAACACACTGTACAGGTGAATTGACTGCGTATTTTGTGGGCAAAAGGCGGCAGCCGATTGCGTGGAGTGAGGAAACTCGTCTAAGGTTTGGGAAATCGAACCCCGGTCCCTCTAGGCTCGCGAGGCGAGCGCTCGAGACCACCGGGCTCCGGCCCTTTAGGTCAACGGACCTTGGAGCCAGGCGCGGACTGGGCTTTTCAGATCGCTTTCATTTCTCCTGTTCCATTTCTGGACTGGAATAGCACCACCAGGAGGAGTTTGGGGCCACATTTGAGATCTGTGTGGATGTTCAGGTCCTTTTTGTCTCTGACCTCACAACACACACACACACACATCCACGCAGAGCGTTTGGGGATTTCCTCCACAAACACCCAACACACTCACTCCTCCCTTTCTCTCAATCTCCACCCACACTCCCTCTCTCCCTCTGTCCCCCTCTCCCTCTCCTGAAGCTCAGAGGTCACTCGATTGCGGACCTCCTTCATGGCATCGGAGAGCATGGAGCTGAACAGCGAATACTTGAGCGGTGGACGTCTGAATTCCAGGGAGGTAAGAGCTGCCTCTGGGGGGAGAGCCGGGGGGGGGGGTTTTGGGGGGGGGGATGGGGTGTGGGGTGTGTTGGGGGGGATGTGGATGGGGTTGGGGGGTGTGGGGTGTGTTAGGGGGGGGTGGATGGGGTTGGGTTGTGTGGGGGCTGTTGGAGAGGGTGTGGATGGGGTGTGTGGGGGGTGTTGGGGTGTGGGGGGGGGTGTGGGGGTGTGTGGGGGGGTGTGGGGGTGTGTGGGGGGGTGTGTGGATGGGGTGTGTGGGGGGTGTTTGGGGTGTGTGGGGGGTGTGGGGGTGTGTGGGGTGTTGGGGTGTGTGTGTGGGGGGTGTTTGGGGTGTGTGGGGGGGTGTGGGGGTGTGTGGATGGGGTGTGTGTGGGGGGTGACGATTGTAACCATTTGTCGCCAAAATGGACACAATGTAGCGATTGACACCGATCACAGACTGTGAAACCCTCCGTTACTGTAACCAATTACCGACTCTCCGTTACATTGTATCATTGACTCATTCACTCACTCACTCACTGACACACACACACTCACTCACTCACATTCACTCACTCACTCACATTCACTCACTCACTGACACACACACACACACTCACTCACTCACTCACTCACATTCACTCACTGACACACACACACTCACTCACTCACATTCACTCACTCACTCACTGACACACACACACTCACTCACTCACATTCACTCACTCACTGACACACACACACACACTCACTCACTCACATTCACTCACTGACACACACACACTCACTCACTCACATTCACACACTCACTCACTCACTGACACACACACACTCACTCACTCACATTCACTCACTCACTGACACACACACACTCACTCACTCACATTCACTCACTGACACACACACACTCTCATACTCACTCACACTCACTCACACGCTCATTCACTCACTGACACACTCACTCATTCACTCACTGCTCCCTTGTTTACCTCTAAGACATCACCGCACATTTCTCCTCCTCGAGCCCATCTTACGTAGGGTCCTACGTAAGGGTCATTCAGGCGCAAGTTCAAGTACATGTTTGCATTACCGGGTCCGGGATAAGATCAGAGCCTCGGACAGTTATTTTGAACGTCGTATTTCCTTTCCTGTTTTCCTTTCCTTAGTTTTAATAATAATAATCCTGGCATTTGATACAGCGCCTTATCACGTCGTTGAGACGTCTCAAAGCGCTTCACAGTTTTGCCCACGAAACGTACAGTCAATTCACTTTACAGTGTATCCCGTGAAGCGCTTTGAGACGTCTGGATGACGTGACGAGGCGCTGTATCAAATGCCAGGATTATTATTAATATACTGTAAAGTGGAGTGACTGTGTATTTTGTGGGCGCAACGCTTGGGAATGGATTATTATTTCAGCGCTCTGTGGATCCACAAGCCCTCAGAGTTAGTGTCAAACTCTGGAATTTCCAAACCAAACTTTGGTGAAACCTGTTTTTTTGTGCTTGTTGCGGACTCCAGCAAAAACAAATTAAAGTTGAGAACTAGGAGCCGGCTTCGGGCACATCCGATGGCTTTGTGGGAACTCCCAAATGAGAGTTCGGTGAGATAGCGGTGAGAAAATCCACAGTCAAGTGACAACAGCTTCACGAGCAGGCGGAGAAACTATCTGAACAGGCTTTATGTTCACTGACAAGCCAACAGTGACTGACAGTGGCACTAAATACATCCTTTGGACACCCCAAGATAATAATAATAATCCTTGCATTTGATACAGTGCCTTATCACGTCGTTGAGACGTCTCGAAGCCCTTCACAGAATATATTGTAATGTGGATTGACTGTGGATTTTATGGGCACAGCAGTCGTGTTTGAAATAAGAGGTCAGGGTGAGGGGATTAGGAGAGGTGGAGGCTCTTCTGAACTAGTTGGGCCTTTTTAATGGACTGGATTCTAAGGATGGATTCTTAGTCAATTGCATGCAAACGGTTAACAAACCTACGTAAATCCTTTCAAACCAGTTATAACAGAATGAGTGCTCGCTCACTCACTGCTCAGCTGTAGTTTCCAGGAATGTTATTAATCCGAACAGATGCATCACTGGGGTGGGGGAGGGGGAGAGGGGGTTATCTGTAGGAAAATGGAGGAAATTAAAACTGTATGTTTGCTGGCTCAGTGTTGTTTTAATGTGACACTGACTATTTTTTTTTGGGGGGGGGGGGGGCGGGGGAGAGTGGGGAGAGAAATCTCAGGCTGTTGGACAAGACAGGACAGTGCCCAACCCAATACATCCTTTGAATTGGTTTTGGTTTGCTGGAGCAGAGGATCTGTGTGTGGGTTAGTAGGACAGACTTCTGCTTCCCAGAATCAGACTCCTGCTTTCATTGTTAACAAATCCCTTTGTTAAGAAACATCGCAAACTCATCTTCTCCATGGTCTCCTGGTCGTTGCTGAGACTACAGATCGCACCTTTGTTCTGCCAGCGTTTAACCCCCCCCCCCACCCACCCTTTTAAAAAGGCTTATTGAGTCAAATCTGTCCAGAGTGAATGGCATTGTGTGAATGATTATAAATTGAGGAAGTTTAAATCATTGCTTTTCTAGCTTGAAATGTGGCAATTGAGGCTAACGTGCCTGGGTTGAGAGAGAAACCACTTGTGAAGTCCATGGCTAGTCCTAACCCACTGATCTGCAGGGGAAGTTATAATAATAATAATCCTAATAATAATAATGTATTTGATAAAGCGCTTTATCACGTGGTTGAGACGTCTCAAAGAAACATGCGGCCAATTGCGCACAGCAGTGTCCCACAAACAGTCGTGGATTGAATGACCACATGTTTTTTGTTTGGTTGGTTATTTTGGAGGGATTATTATGCCCGGAAAGCAAGCCGCCAATCGACTAACAACCAGATTCCTGCTTAGCGCTCGGTAAACAAAGGCCTGTGTGTGGAGTAAGGACACTTGCCTAAGGTATCACCTTGCCGAGGGAATCGAACCAAGGTCCTCTCGCTTGCGAGGCGAGCGTGCTAACTACATTACGGCGACTCCGTATTTCTGTTGAGTCAGTGAGAGAATGGGGGGGGGGGGGGGCGAGAGACATTTGTTACAGGAAAAAACTCAATCCTTCCTGATTGAACTCTCCGAACTGTAAGCATTGATCAATAAGCTGATTCATTAATGGAAAGTGGCTTGCCCACACCCAAACCATCTATCACTCCCACACCACCCCCATGTTATTCCTCTTTTACTCAGACAGAGAACGTAAAAAATATTCAAAACTTTGAGGGGATATTCTCCCTTGCATGCAAGGGAGAATTTTTTTTTAATCCTCTGTCCTGATGCCCTGCTCTTCTCTAGTTTCCCGGTTTCAAATATTTATCTCATTCACTTTACTAGTGGTTATAAATGGAATCTTGTTGTTGTTGTAGTGGTTAGCGATAGTATTTCAACCAGCGTTTTGGGTCCAAGTTCCTGAAAACCTCTCCGTGGGTACAAAAAAAATAAATCTCTTCCGAACTTCTCCCTTTAATAGTGATCTCGAGTTTATGCCCTCAGGTCGCCTTATCACACTGTTGAGACGTCTCAAAGCCCTTCACATATTATACTGTAAAGTGAATTGACAGCGAAAAGCTCACAAATAAAACCCCATCAATAGTAAAAACCCCCTGGTTAGCTCTGTAAAACAAAGGGTAGTGACTATTTTCTGGTGGTGACCTTTCTCTGGCTTACAAACTGCTCATTTCTCAGTCAGGAACAGGTCACGGCATCTGACAAATCTCTCAAGCACTGGGCAGCGGTAAAACCCACTCCACGTCGATCACTTCCTCCACCGCCAAGGAAATTGCATCCAGAAATAGACCTGAGGGAAGTTTCAAAATTTCCCAAAATTTCTCCACACATGTTTCTGTTTGTCTGTCTCTGGCCTGGCCTGGCCTGGCTTGGCCTGGCCTGGCCTGGCCTGGCAGCAGGGAGAACCTGTCGTGACTCTCTCATACACAGAACCTCACTCAGACTGTTAATCCACATCAGCCGCCCGGTCTCATCTCGATTGGAGTCCCGTAGCGTAGTGGTTAGAGCGCTCGCCTCACAAGCGAGAGGACCCGGGTTCGATTCCTGGTCAGGGAGAAACCTTAGGTCAGTTTCCTTACTCCACGCACCTCTGTTTACCTCGAAGTGAGTAAGGACCTGGTTGTTAGTTGATTGGGGCAGCGCTTTCCGGGGGTAATAAACCCTCCCCCACAAAAATAATTGGCTGCCGCGTTTCGCCCACAAAATATACAGTCAATCCACTTTACAATATATTCTGTGAAGCGCTTTGAGACGTCTCAATGACGTGATAAGGCGCGGCACCAAATGCAGGTATTATTTTTGATTACATTATAATATCACTCTCCCGGACACTGAAATCTCAAGCGTGAAGGATGCTACACAAATGCAAGTTGTTGTTTTCTAACCTCCTTAATTCTTTCTGTGATCACCTTAAATCTATGCCCACTGACGATCAGCGGAGATACTCTATTACTATTTGCCCTGTGGTAACTCATATGAATATAGGAAGTAGGAGCAGCAAACGCATGCAACTCCATGATGAGAAGGAACTTACAAAGGGGGAAGCTGAGAGAGTTCCAGGGTGATTCATTGCTCACTGGGTGAAAACGGTGTCACGCAAGAGATAAACAGAATGCTGGGCCACCCAGTAAAACAAGAAGACACAGATTCTGAGCCACGGCCTGAAAGGTGCCGTACCAAGATGAGACGTTAAACCGAGGTCCCCGTCTGCCTGTTCGAGCGGGCGTTGAAGGGAGTTTCTCTCTCTCCCGCCGTCCTGGCCTACAATCCCCCAAATAAAATCGGTCACTCAACTCCCGAGCTGTTTGCGGGACATTGCTGTGCGCAAACTGGCTGCTGGGTTTCGCTCACAAAACACACAGTCACAACAACTTTACAGTTTGTCTTGCAAAGCACTTTGAGACGTCTGGATGACGTGATAAGGCGCTATATCGATGATGTGCTAAGGAT